AGACGATGCTGAGTCGCTATCAAAATAAATAACTTTTTTTAAAGATTTTGTAGTATAGAGCTATATCTAGGTCGATTCACGGAGACACATTCTCGGTCAAATTCAATTTTAGGTTTTCTTTTAAAAAAATGCAAATAAGATTTTTGGGTTTTGAAAATTGTAAATTAATCAATATGTAACGCCTTACATTTCTTTATCTTAAATATTTTAAGTTTAAATTTAGAAAGAATAACCAAACTTTTCCTTTTAATAATTAATCAAATTTCCAAAGATAAAACCTTTCATAACAGTAAATTTGTATATAAAACAATTTAAGAAAATACACTGCATGAAATATACTGCAAATTAATATTTACATACTGAAAGATTTCTATTACAATTTGATATATTGCATTTACATATCATTATCCCAAAGTATATCAAGTTTACAGTAGTTCATACTTTATCTCACATACTGACAACTTAAAACTATTCATCTATATCATGCTAGCTCTCAATTTTTATCAAGTCCTCAACAGTTAATTTGTCATCTCCAAGATAGGCGTCACTAGAGTCCGCCACCATCTCTATACTAGGGAATCTCTCAAATGTGTAGCTATTAGGTCTTCCTAACAAATCATAATCATGATAAGTAAATACATTATTCATGATCTGAGAAGGTCTTTTTATTCCCTGGTATAGATAAAAACTGAGAGATTGATGAATTTGACCACTGGTTAGGAAATCAAAAGGAACTGCATAATTATAGACTACTTTTACTGTGTACTCTCCATACTTCTAAAATATACTCTAAAATGTAAATGTATAATACGTCTATATTCCCTAAATACATAATTTAATCTACTACTAGCATAAACATATACTATATCAATCTGCATGAGATGTGTTGTCATCTTTGCTACCTGCAGAGTGGTGTAAGGGTGAGAAACTATTCTACCTTTCAAACATAACACAATTGCATCATATCATTTATTACTATAATCGTAAATATGCAATAATCATCACTTCATATCACATATCAATTATTCTCTTCCTAACATACAAATTCACACAATTTCAATATATTCTTATCATTCCATTTCCAAATACGCACTTTCAGTGCACTGTGATCACAGTCATTCAATGCTTCTGACAGTTCTCGAGGTCTTACTCAATCATGTAAATAGTCGCCGGTTAGCTCATGCAATACGATACGTATGCAATCATGACCCCCTTAGCAAAGGCATAATTAGGAGTCTATGTGGCGCATTTACACTCAACAATAATATGTGCACAGGTGCGAATGTCGCTCATCATCCTACATTTTTCTAAGATTTTCTTATCGTCTCCGTACTCTGTACTCCAAGTGTATCTCTGTAACTATTTACACCAATCTATTCAGTATTGATATTCATTCCACATTCTAATCATAAAATCGTGCTTAATAGCACTTCTAGACTAATTCCATATTGCTCATTACTAACTCATGATCTCAATAATTATATCATTAAACAATTCATCGCTGACATATTCATCATTTTTAGACATATCTTAGCAATAAGGTCATTTAACATCCAGTACATTCATCATACTTATTAAACTATAATATTATACTTCTCATCATATATTTCATATTTACACAGTATAATCAGTTAACCAAACCATCAAACATATGCATAGTAGCAATCTTTCTACATTAATGCTTATTACTCATCAATACCTCATCAAAATTTCTACACAAACATGCTCTCAACATATAACTTACATCATATAATGATAGAATATAGCTCCCCTTACCTTAAATGAAGATCTAAACGGAGGTTGCTGATCAAGAACATCCTAAAATAGCATTTTTACTTAGAATCATGTAGAATGATTCTACAATCTTAAATTCAAAGAACAATCAAGGTTTTGAGGAGTTTTATCTGAAAAGAAGAAGTGAAAGTTGAGAGAAATAAAATAGAACATAAAATGGTAAGAAAATATGATTTTTCATGCAGAAAAACCCTTAAATACCCTCAGAATCACGACATTCTCGTTGTAACACCCCCAGATTTTGTAATATAGTTTGTTTATTAAAATAAGTGTTTACGTGGACTTTGATGTGTCGTGTATTTATTATATATGTATGAAGTGAATGGATTGAATTGACTAGACTGGATAGATTGAATATATATATATATATATATATATATATATATATATATGTGTGTGTGTGTGTGTGTGTGTGTGTGTGTGTGTGTGTGTGCATGTGTATGCAGGCTAAGTGTGGATGTTGCTGCAGGACATTCTCGCTATAGCGAAAGGGCCCTGGCGTGAGGCATGAAACTGTGTCGTCCTTCGCTGTAGCGACAAAGCCACAATTTGTGGTGCATTTCTGTGTACAGTCTCGCTATAGCAAGAGGGTCTCGCTGTAGCGAGATTCTGCAAAGATCAGGATGCAGTTTTCTCTGATATTTTTGCTGTAGCGAGACAGGGTGTCGCTGCAGCGACGTCCCCTTGTTGCAGCGAGAGTATTGCGACCATAGAAGATTTAAAGGGGCTAGGGCTTAGGAGACACAATTTTCCCTTTTCTCTCTTCAAGGTCCCTTCGATTCTCTCGATCCAAAACCTTATTTCACCGATTAAATTGCCTCCAAGCCATTTGGGAGCAAGATTGAAGCTTAAAATTGTGTGGGGAAAGCTTGGTGGTAAGTTTTAATGGTTAGGGTTTAGATTTTTCATCACCATTCTATTATTTCTCAGTTTTCCTTGGTTCTCACAAGAAGTTTTCGTGTATTTTGGACTAAGTCTGTATGGGGAGCCTTCTCATTTTTGATTTTGTGTGTGGGTCTTCATTTGAGGTAAGGGGGGACTCTACCCTATCTCATTTTGCTTAAAAACTTGTTTATGTACTATGTTTTGTAATGTGATTGAGATAGGATGTATGAACTAATGTATTGAGATAGATAATATGTGGTGGGTATGATTGTGATGATTTGAAAGTGCTATAGGACTTAGATTGTATTTTGAAACTATGATGTAACTGAATTAGTCATGTAGCAGTCTTTAATATAAATTGTAATCCTTTATTGTTTTGAACTATTTTATGAAACTTTGTAATGATATCTTTTATTAAATGAAAATTTCATTACTCCCATTTTACGAAATTATTACTTGAAAATTAAATTTAAGGCGTTATAATTTTAGTATCAGAGCAGGACTCTCTCCTAGTACGGTGTGGTTCGAGGACGAACCAAACGGAAGCTGGTGGGCATGTGACACCCAAGCACTAGGCGAGGGCGGGAAGTGATTGCCGGTGCATTGTAGCATGGACAATGAGCGGCTCCTGGCAGGCTTCCGGGCGAGGGAGGGGAGTGATCATCAGTGCAGTGTGGGCACGGACAAGTAGCGACTCCTGGTAGGTTTTCGGCAGTAAAGGGCACATGAATGAATCAAACTTACATCGGAATGAGAGGAGAATCTAGAGACTGTGTATACAGTTGAGGATAGCTTAAAGGAATTGATTAGGATTACCTATACCAACAAAATGCATTTACTTTTTGGTGGCATATCATTTAAGAACTCTAAAGTTAAGCGTGCTTAACTTGGAGCAATTATGGGATGGGTGACTTTCTGGGAAGATCCCGGGAAGTGTGTGTCTAAGGATAGAGCAGTTCATCCAAACCGGACTGAGGTAACGGGCTGAAGCGTCCAAGCTGAGTGTTGATTTGTTTTGTTTACTTGAATTATAAATGTTGTGATCTAATGGCTTGAATTGTGGTTTGTTGATTTGTTATAGCTAGAGTAAGCATGGCTGGTAAAGGTAGAGGAGCTAGAGATACTAGTGACCTCATGGAGTGCATGGCTCAAATTTTGGAGACCTTGGTGCATAACCAAGGCGGAGAGCTGGCTGAGTACAGAGGATTAGCTGCTTTCACTAGGCACGATCCTCCAAAGTTTGAGGGAGGATTCAACCCTAAGGGTGCTCAGAGGTGGTTGGCAGATGTTGAGAAGGTAAGCTATGCCACCTACTTATTGTGCCAGTCAGACATTGCCACAAGAGGGTGACTACATTCAATGGGAGACCTTCAAGGCAATTTTCCTACAGGTCAGACATTGCCACAAGAGGGTGGCTACATTCAATGGGATACCTTCAAGGCAATTTTCTTAGGGAATTACTTTCCCCGGGATCTGAGGAATCAAAAGGCCTGTGAATTTCTTAAGCTGAAGCAAGGAAGCATGACAGTGGGAGGTACTGGTCTCACTACCCACATGGGGATGGTGAGGAGGACTTGTGTGCTCAGTTCGAGCACGGGCTGAGGCCAGACATCTGAGCTACAGTCAGTGTGTTCTAGCTGACAGACTTGTCCACTATGGTAAGCAAGAGTAGAATCTTTGAAGCTAACTCAAGGGGGAAGACAACGGACAATAAGGGAGCCGGGCCAGTCCGGCAAGATAGAAGACCCCCTAGATTCTCCAAGCGGCCGTATTTGGGTTCTAGTCATTCACATTCCAGAGAGACTTCATCTCAGGAGAGGAGCAATGGTACTGGCTCTGGCTCTTGCTCAAGAACAGGCTCTTTCAGAGGACCGTTTAAATGCTTCAGGTGTGGAGGACCACACATGGTGAAGGACTGCCTATAGCCACGGACGACTTGTAACAACTATGGGAAGTCAAGGCATACTGCCAATGTGTGTTGGGCTGCTAAGAGGAGTGGCAGTTCAAGTATAGCTCAGAGACCAAAATCAAGAGAGAGCATGGGGCCAAGTACAGGACCGAAACCAAACATTCCTAGTAGGGTCTTTGCTATGAGCGGGGCAGAGGCTTCATAGTCTGAGGAGCTGATTCAAGGTAAATGCATTATTAAAGGCTAATTGCTCGATGTGTTGTTTGACTCAGGTGCTACGCACTCATTTGTATCTGTGGATTGTGTGAAGAGCCTGAATTTGTATGTGACTGAACTGTCATTTAATGTTGTGGTGACTACCGCTAAGGGTAAGCCGGTTGTAACATCGTAAGTGTGGTTAGGATGTTCAATAATGGTGCATGGTAGGGAGTTTGAGGTAAACTTGATTTGTTTGCCTCTTTCTCAATTGGATGTAATCTTGGGAATGGATTGGCTTGCTGCCAACCATGTGTCATTGGATTGTAGAGAGAAGGCACTTATCTTTGGTGCATTGATGTCAGAAATTCTGAGACTGTTAAGTCAAGGTGTATGGGAGAACGCAGTAAATGCCAAGGCCTTTATGATCATATTCTCGATGGAGGCCAAAAGCGTGGTAGAGCCAGAGTATATTCTGGTGGTGAAGGACTTCTTGGAAGTTTTCCCTGAAGTGGTTTCTGAGTTACCACTCGAGAGGGAGATAAAGTTTGTCATTGACCTCATTCCAGGAGCAAGCCTGATTTCTGTGGCACCACATAGGATGTCACCAATGGAGTTGGCAGAGGTCAAGAAGCAAGTAGAGGATTTGTTGTAAAAGTGATTTGTAAGACCAAACGTGTCACCATGGGGAGTGTCAGTGCTCTTGGTGAAAAAGAAGGATGGAAGCATGAGAATGTGTGTGGACTACCGACAGCTGAACAAGGTGACGATTAAAAACAAGTATTCGCTTCCGAGGATCGATGATTTGATGGACCAGTTAAGGGGAGTTGTATTATTTTCTAAGATTGACTTGAGGTCAAGGTATCATCAGATCAGGGTAAAGGATGAGGATGTGCCCAAGACGGCGTTCAGAACGCGGTATGATCACTACGAGTATTTTGTGATGCCGTTTGGAGTGACTAATGCGCCTACGATGTTCATGGATTACATGAACAGGATCTTTCATGAATTTTTAGATAAGTTTATGGTGGTGTTCATCGACGACATCCTGATTTATTCGAAGACTCAGGAAAAGCATGCCGAACACTTGAGGATCATTCTGCAGATTCTGAAGGAGAGACAATTGTATGCAAAATTCTCCAAGTGCGAATTCTGGCTATCAGAGGTTCAGTTTTTGGGACATGTAGTGTCGAAAGAAGGGATCATGATAGACCCTGTAAAGGTGGAAGTAATGGCTGAGTGGCCAAGGCCAACAAATGTGATTGAGGTCCGCAGTTTCCTAGGACTAGCAGGCTATTATTGGAAGTTCATTGAAGGATTTTCCAAGATAGCATTGCCCTTAACGAAGCTGACCTGTAAAGGAAAAGAGTTTAAATGGACCAAGGGGGTGAAGTTAGTTTCTTGGAGCTGAAAATAAGGTTGACTTCAGCACCTATGTTAGTCTTGCCCAATCTGGAGCATAAATTCAACGTGTATTGTGATGCGTTCGGGCAAGAACTTGGGTGTATTCTTATGCAAGACGGACAAATGGTGGCCTTTGTCTCAAGACAGTTACGCACGTATGAAGTCAACTATCCAACTCATGACTTGGAGTTAGCGGCGGTGGTTTTTGCTTTTAAGGTATGGAGGCATTACCTATATGGAGTAAGGTTTAAGGTGTTCAGTGACCACAAGAGTTTGAAATATCTCTTTGATTAGAGAGAACTGAACATGCAGAAGAGGAGATGGATGAAATTCCTCAAGGACTACGATTTCACTTTGTCTTACCACCCCGGCAAGGCAAATGTGGTGGCCAACACTTTGAGCCGGAAGTCATTACACGTGGCAGCAATGATGATAAAAGAGATGGAGCTGATTGAGAAATTTCGAGACATGAATTTGGCCATAGAGGTGAGGCCGGGAAGCTTGTAGCTTGAAGCGACAACAATTCACAACGACTTCCTAGTGTATGTCCAAGATGTGTAGCAGAGAGATGCCTTTCTACAAGATATGATGAGACAGAAGAATGAGGGCAAGGATTTGGAGTTCCATTGTGATGAGAACGGGGTGATTAAGTTTCAAAATCGAGTGTGCATTCCTCAAGTGGATGAGCTGAAACAAATGATACTTGAGGAAGCGCATAAGAGTAGGATGAGTTTTCACCCCGGTGCAACCAAAATGTATCAGAATCTTTGGAAGAGTTTTATGTGGAATGGAATGAAAATAGATGTAGCTGAATATGTAGCTAGATGCCTAACTTGCCAGAAGGCGAAGGTAGAGCACCAGCGTCCACCTGGGTTGCTGCAACCGTTGGAGATCCCTGAGTGGAAATAGGACCAGGAACAATCATGATGTCATTTAGGTCATAGTGGATCGGTTGACTAAGGCTGCACACTTTCTCCCGATTAACATGAAGTATAAGTTAGAGAGGTTAGCGGAATTATATGTGCGGGAGATAGTCAGGTTGCATGGAGTGTCAACGAGTGTAGTGTCTGATAGGGACCCGAGGTTTACCTCGAAGTTTTGGGAGAGCTTGCAAAGGGCATTAGGCACTAAGATGAAGCTTAGTTCGATGTATCACCCATAGATCGACGGTCAAACGGAGAGGACTATCTAGTCTCTAGAGGACTTGTTGAGAGCTTGTGTGCTTGAGCAGCAAGGGACTTGGGAAGAATGTTTGTCGCTAGTGAAGTTCACATACAACAACATTTATCATGCTAGCATTGGAATGGCGCCATTTGAGGCCTTGTATGGGCGGAGGTATAGGACTCCTTTATGCTGGTACGAGGATGTAAAGGCTACTTTGTGTGCACCGGATATGATCCAAAAACAAAATGAGCAAATCAAGATGATCAAAGAGAATATGAAGGCTGCACAGGATAGGCAGAAGAGCTATTATAATAGCAGGAAAAAACTGTTAGAATTTCAAGTGGGTGACTATATGTTTTCGAAGGTCTCACCTGTGACTGAAATTGGGAGAACTCTGAAATCTCAGAAATTATCTCCTAAGTTCATTGGGCCATTCGAAGTGCTGAGTAGAATTGGTCCTGCTGCATACCAGATAGCGTTGCCTTCGAACCTCTCGAACCTACATCCGATGTTCCATATGTCGCAACTCAGGCAGTATGTGCCGAATCCTTTCCATATGATTAATCTTGACCCGATTCAAGCAAGAGATGACTTGTCTTATGATGTGTATCCCGTGAGGATAGCGGATCACCGTGTTAAACAGCTGAGGGGCAAGGAAATCTCATTAGTGGAGGTGATGTGGAGCTTAAGTGATGAAGGAGATGCCACATGAGAAACAGAGAGTAGAATGAGAGAGTTATACCCGGAATTGTTTGTGTAACTTGCATGTGTATATGTTTGAATTTTGAGGATGAAATTCCCTAAAGGAGGGGAGAGTTGTAACACCTCGGATTTTGTAATATAGTTTGTTTATTAAAATAAGTGTTTAGGTGGACTTTGATGTGTCGTGTATTTATTATATATGTACATATATGTATGAAGTGAATGGATTGAATTGACTGGACTAGATAGATTGAATATATATATATATATATATATATATATATATATATATATATATATATATATAGGTGTGTGTGTGTGTGTGTATACAAGCTAAGAGTGGATGTTGCTGCAAGACATTCTTGTTGTAGTGAGAGGGCCCTGGGCTTGAGGCATAAAATTGTGTTGTTCTCACTGTAGCGAGGAGGCACTGGGAGAAGGGAGTGAAACTGTTGCCTTGTTGCTGTAACGAGAGGTCTCTCGCTGTAGCGACAAAGCCACAGTTTGGGGTGCATTTCTGGGTGCAGTCTCGCTGTAGCAAGAGAGGGTGTCACTGTATGCGAGGTGTTGTAGCAAGAGTATCGCGACTAGAGAAGATTTAAAGAGGCTAGGGCTTGGGAAACTCATTTTTCCCTTTTCTCTCTTCAATGCCCCTTCGATTCTCTCGACCCAAAACCTTATTTCACCGATTAAATTGCCTCCAAGCCGTTTGGCAGCAAGATTAAAGGTTGAAATTGTGTGGGGAAAGCTTGGAGGTAAGTTTTAATGGTTAGGGTTTTGGGTTTTCATCCCCATTCTCTTATTTCTTGATTTTCCTTGGTTCTCATGAGAAGTTTCTGTGTATTTAGGACTAAATTCGTGTAAGGAGCCTTCTCATTTCTGATTTTGTGTGTGGGTCTTCATTTGAGGTAAGGAAGGACTCTACCCTATCTCATTTTGCTTGAAAACCCGTTTATGTACTATGTTTTGTAATGTGATTGAGATAGGATGTGTGAACTGATGTGTTGAGATAGATAATATGTGGTGGGTATGATTTTGATGATTTGAAAGTGATTTGAGTGGATTTTATAAAGAATTGACGTTGAATGTGATGAGTGGAATGGTTGAGCCCAACATAGGTGTGTTTGTGTGTCCTTGAATGATGTAAATGGATGGGAATGAGTATAGATGGCACGTTAAAATGTTGTGTGTATGAAATGGATATGTGTGTCATGTGTGGCAGATGAATGTGGGTCATTGGGTCGTATATTATGAATGAATATGGACACTTGTGCTGTGTGTGTGAATGAATGTGGGCCTATGTGCCGTGTAATGTTAATAACTATGGATAATTATGCCGTGTGCTGTAAATGAGTAATGTGTGTGGTTAAAATGTGTGTGAATGGGGCATGTTGAATGCCGTTGTAATGATGCTGTGAATGGTTCAACGATACACTGGAGGTGTGGAAGATGAGGACGATAGAAATACCTTGGGAAAGAGAAAGTGGTGGTGACACCAATAGTGAGCGTGGGTGCACCATGAGCCACACACTCTCTTCCTGACTAGACCTCTGACCACTATCTTTGTTGAGCGACCCGTGACTGCCCATGCGGTATCTGCGAGGCGGTGGTGATCGGCAACTATTTATGGTGTGAATCTGTGATCACAGTGCCACAGTGAGCGTGGCTAGGTGCAATAAGAGCACATGTGTAAATTGTTATAGTGCTGTGAGTGCATTGGTTATGAACTGTAATGAAATGCTTGAAATATTACTTGTAATTACCTAGACTCGAGTAAATATGCTAGAATACCTATAGATACGCATGGTGAGACTCTATGTAAGTTGTGTGTGTTGGATAGTGTAGATGACTCACCCTTATATTTATTTTTAGGTGACTAAGACAATCAGCACTAGACTCAGTGAAGGAAGGATGAACTGCTATAGGACTTAGATTGTATTTTGAAACTATGATGTAATTGAGTTAGTCCTGTAGTAGTTTTTGATATAAATTATAATCCTTTATTGTTTTGAACCGTTTTATGAAACTCTGTAATGAGATCTTTTATTAAATGAAAATTTCATTACTCCCATTTTATGAAATTATTACTTAGAAATTAAATTTTTTACACTCGCTATAGTGAGCCTTTCTCCCTATAGCGAGAGATTACTCATAACACTCTTTGCTACAACGAGTCATTTTTGCTACAGCGAGACTCTTTCTCATCATAGCAAAAATATCAAACAAAATTACATTCTATTTTCTGTACTTTTCGCTACAACGAGGGATCTCTCACTACAGTGAGAGCGCTCTAGAATGTTTCATTTTTATCGCCTCATTCTCGCTATATTGAGAGCCTTACAATTCTAACACTTCACAACTCTTTCTAATCTCTCTCAATATACA